TTTTTAATGTTTATTTTTGCCTTATGTTGATGTGTGTGCATTTGGTAAGGCAGTCAAATGCACACACATCAATCTAGGGGAAAATAAACATTAACACAACCAAAAAGAATCACCTTCCATTGATGGGCACTTGGGTTGGTTCCAAGTCTTTACTATTGTGAACAGTGACACAATAAACATATCTGTGCATGTGCCTTTATAATAGAATTAGATATAATCCTTTGGGTATATACCCAGTAATGGGATTGCTGGGTCAAATGGTATTTCTGTTTCTAGACCCTTGAGGAATCGCCACACTGTCTTCCACAATGGTTGAACTAATTTACACTCCCACCAACAGTGTAAAAGTGTTCCTATTTCTCTACATCCTCTCCAGCATCTGTTGTCTCTTGATTTTTTAATGAGCACCATTCTAACTGGAGTGAGATGGTATCTCAATGTGGTTTTGATTTGCATTTCTCTAATGACCAGTGATGATGAGCTTTTTTTCATATGTTTTTGGCTGCATAAATTTCTTCTTTTGAGAAGTGTCTGTTCATATACTGGATAAAGAAAACGTGGCACATATACACCATGGAATACTATGCAGCCATAAAAAAGGATGAGTTCATGTCCTTTGCAGGGACATGGATAAAGCTTGAAATCATCATTCTCAGCAAACTGACACAGAACAGAAAACCAAACACTTCATGTGCTAATGCATAAGTGGGTGTTGAACAATGAGAATACATAGACACAGGGAGTGGAACATCACACACTGGGGCTTGTTGGTGGGTGGAGACTAGGGGAGGGATAGCAGGGGGTGAAGTGATAGGGGAGGAATAGCATTAGGAGAAATACCTAATGTTGGTATGGGGTGATGGAGACAGCAAACCACCATGGCACATGTATACCTATGTAATAAACCTGCACATTCTGCACATGTAACACACAACCTAAAGTATAAAAAAAAATCTGAGGAAAAAACAAGAATCATCTTCCAGAATTTATGAACTAGTTCACTCTGAAAAGACCATACTCTATGGTGGAGGGTTTATTGGGTGGGGTGGTATCAGTGATGGTGCAGATTTGTAGTCTTTGTGTAGTTTTTTCAGCTCAGGTTAGAGTTGACAAAGATCATAAGGATCTTCAGTGGCCAAAGCAGTGGATATTGGCAGTAGCAGCAAGAATTGTCAGGGTCTTCAGTGGTGATGGCTGCTAAGGTTCTTCTGATCTTTTCTCCCACCAGGGAAGCTGGAGCTGAGAAGATTTTTCTTTGTACTAGATCTGGCTTGTAGGGCCTCTCATAGTGGTCTGATAAGTGGCACTCATGGAGTAGCCATAGAACTGAGGTCTGATGCATGGGCTCACATGGAGTGACTGTGGCTCTGGAATTGGAGTGGTAATGACACTGGTGCTCAAGGTGCAGATGCCCCCTCTGCTGCATGGTGTGGTATGTAAGGCATGGTTACACATGCAAAATAGTGTGGGAACTGAGAACACAGTCTTTCAGTGGCTTCAGGGTTAGGGCAAGACCTAGCTCTCTATGACTGAGTTGTTTCCCAGGGCATAGGTGCCTCTGCTGTAATGTTGGTAATAGTATACTTGTGAATTAGTCAAGGAGACAAGAATGGGAGCACAGGTATGCACAGAATTATAATGGCTCTGTGGCCTGGGTGGGGCTACCTCTCTATAGTGGTTAAGTCAGTGTCTGGAGTGTGGACATGCAGGGAGAGTTTAATATTGGGGTTTGAAGTGTTAACTAGCTTACTGTGGTGCTGGCTGTGGTGTTAAAAACATGATTGGGCCCAGTGTAGTCAGAGACTCTCAGTCTGGAGTGTGGGCATTCCCAGATGGCCACGGCTCCAGGGCTGGAGCTTGCACATGGTTGGAAGAGATGACAATCCCATTCCCAAAGCAGCTCAACAGCAATTGCTTCTTGGGGGATAGGAGGGAGTTATAGCCACATCTCCCCCTCTGGGGTTCCCTTGCAGGAATGGCTGTTGTTTAGACAGAGGGAAAAGATTCTAGTGTCTTCTGTGGAGCAGGCCACTAGAGACAATGTTGGTCCTTTCTGTGTCTAACACTGATAACTTCCACCTTTCCTCTTTGTTCCTAGCCAGACCATGGCCTCTCAGGTATGCCAATCTACCAGCAATTCTTCCTAGGTTGTTATTCTCCATTTTTTGCTTCATAATGTTGCTGCAAATTCTTTAATGGGAACTTGAGCCCTCTCTGGGCTATTTTAGTTTGTGAATAGCTGTCTATACTTGAATGTTTTAGAGGGATGAAGGTGAATACCTCCTACTCTGTGATCTTGGTGATAGCTCCTAAACAGAGATTTTCTTAAATTCCAGAAACTACTAATTCCCCCAGTCATTGCAGAGGCCTGTGTGAATGTTGGAGCACGATTTTGACACTTAGCCAGGCAACTGACAATTATGTCTTTGCCTTCACTTCCTCCTTGCAGAAAGCCTCAAGATCAACAGCTCAGTGCCTTCTCTATTTCTTCCTTAGGATGAGCATAGTTGTAGGCATATACCTAGTCTTCTAGATTTTTGGGACTATGTCAGAGATTTTCAAATTTCCTGTGGATATGTCATTATTCAGCTTATGTTTTTAAGCTTTGGTTAGTCTATTGTTTTCCCCAACTATTATCCAATACCTCAGTCATAAGCAAAGTTAAACAAAGTAATTGTTTTGATAAATGCCCAGAGGAAAAAGGTTTTTCACAGTGGGTGAGTTCTGATTTAAGTAAAATAAAGATAGCTTTGCAAGTGGAGTCTTCCAGAAAACTGCCAGACATGTCAAATAATGGCAATTTCTAGGAAATTTGAAAGGGCTCTATCCCTGTTCTGCTTTCTACAGTGGCTGCCAGACAATTTTTCACTGTGAATGAGAGCTATTAAGTTTTAAGGCTATTACAGAGTTGAATACTGGGGGATGAGAATAATGCAAGCCAAAACACCACAAAGCTCATTTTTCTCACTGAGATTCAGCCATTTTCCTGAATAAATGCTCCCTGGGTAATTGCAAATCTTTGGTTAATTTCCAGAGTTCTACAAATTTGATTCTGATAATTTTTTGCCAATTTTCTTGCTTCCTTTATAGAAGAGAGAATTATCAAAATTTCTTTCTCTATCGTTTTCTCGTGTCATAAAGATATTTTATGTATAGTGTTATCTTATCATTTATTATAGATACAGTTAGAAGAAATGTTACTGACATGCATATTTCTAAATCAAGAAGACATTTTAAAGTTAACAATTAGGAGAAAACATAGGTTAGAAAATACTTTGGAAAAATATGAAAATACGAAGATATGTATGGTTGCCAACCTCCAACATGTCAAAAATAATCCTTGCTTCCTAGTTTTGTGGGTCTTCCTTCCCCATACAGAATCAGAGTTGATTTGTACGACCAAAATAATCATATGAAAGTAATGGTGTATGACTTATGCGACTAGCTCATAAAATACATTGCCACTTCCACCTTGATCACTTGAATATGTTATTCTTGGAAAAGCCAACTACTATGCTGTGAGGACACTAAAATACACCTATAGAGAGAGGTCCATGTGGAGAACTGAGTGTTCCACCAAAGCCAGCACTAATTTCCCACCTACGTGAGTGATCCATCTTGTCCAGTCCCAGCCAAGTGTTCTGATGGCTACATTACCACAAAGCATCTGACTGAACTTTTTGATAAGCCTTTATCCAGCTCTGCCCAGCCAAGCTGCTCCTGAATTCTTGGCTAATAGACTATGAGATAATAAATGTTTATTGTTTTAAGCCACAAAGTTTTTCATAATTTGTGTCTCAACAATTAATTACTAATATAATAAGCAATTGAAAGCATTTATGTACAAGGAAACAAATATCCTCAGAAAGAAATTGAAATATGTTTTTAAAAATTTCCCCTGAGAAAACACTAGCCATACATAATGGTAAAGGCTCTTTCACACATAACAAACTTCCAAGGTTATATTCAGAGCACAAAAGAAGATTGTAACTGTAACCGTTCCAAATTCATTTTCTGAATATAAAATAACTTCATTACCAAGACCTGAAAATAATAAAACCAATAAAAATTATAATTTTACTTATGAATATAGATACAAGCATTCTAAAAGATTCTACTAACAGATGAAATCTAGCAGGATAAAGCTTTCTAGAAATGTACTATATGTACATAAAATGATAATAATTTAGATCAGAAGTACTAGCATCAGAATACAAATATATTAATCAAAAATAATTTTAAGAACTCAGAAACATGGCATCAGACCTAAAATCAGTTATGAATGATTCATTCTTTTCATACTTAGTTGAAGTGTCTTAATCTATATTACATACATCTATAACATATTAATAATTTAAGTATGTGGTATATATATAATATTTTAAGTCAAATATACATATGATACATAAATGTGGCTTACAATGAAGCAGACTGACATACAAAGCATGGATATCTTTAATCTAAAAATAGATCTTAGAAAAACTACCAAAATAATGTCTCTCAGTTACAAAATCATTCAAAAAGGAAAATAGGAAATTTGAGAGGAAGAAATTCAAATGCCAAAAGATACTTTAAAAAGTATAATTTAGGCAGTAATTCAATAGGTAATAGTTATTTTCTAACAAATTCTCCTTGTTTTACAAAAAGAACAGTAGCCAGTATTGAGTTCATTTGAAGGGTAAAAGGTAAACATCATTAACAAACGTTTTGGAGATCCACAATACGCCAAAATCCTTAATATTGACCCAGACGTTTTAACGTTTGAAATATGAATGCTTTACTTCCTTAGCATTGCTTGTTTGTGTTTTCTTTACATAGATACTATTTTTAGCAAAGGAAATACATTTAAAAACTTTCAAATTTTTATTGCCCTTCCACGTAGGAGAAAACGGGGAGTCTGATGCATAGAAATGAAGGTTTCATATTATTTTCCTTATGATAAATCTAAGAGCTAACTCTGGTATCAGTTTGTCTCATCACATTTGGAAGGTGTTACATACCTGCAAATAGCGGACCACTCGGCAAACCAGGTCAGGTGCCATGAAGTCCCCAGTGAATCGCCAAATAATATCTGTCAGAATGTTGACCAGTCCTGTGAAAGAATCTAACAAAAACATACAAGTGCTTACATTCAGTTTTTTTTTTCCCCAAAATTTGCAGCTAAGCTACAATAGAAATGAAATCCTGGGGAGGCTCATTTTTTTTTGTCTTCCTGATGTATCAGATGGCCACTGGGGAAAAGTAAAGCAAGGTAGGAGTTCTTTGACTTTTATTATTAGAGCTTGTTACCACTTAGATGTAACCACCTAGGAAAAATTTTACTAATTACTGAAGAGGAATCACGCTAATCATCAATCTAAGTATCCATTGACAGATGAATGGATAAAGAAAAGGTGGTACATATACATAATGGAGGACTATTTGGCTATAACAAAGAATAATATCCTGTCATTTGCAACAACATGGATGGAACAGGCAATCATTATGTGACATTATCAATTAAGTGAAATAAGCCTGGCACAGAAAGACAAACATCACATGTTCTCAAAATATCTCCTGTATCTCATAAATATACACACTTACTATGTACCCAGAAAATTTTTTTTTTAATTAAAAAAAAAATCCCACAGTGCGGCAGGGATTCTCTGCTGATTAATGGATAGGACTGGAACACAAGACTGGATAAGCAAGAACTCACTGACTTGGATCACTTTTTGGGGACATGGGATATAACACCCTGTCAAGGACCCCAGAGGGAGGGCAAACTTATTCCTAAGGTAGCTCTTAGAAGGATGGAGAAAGTGATGGTCCTAAGAAGAATGGAAATGCTTGAGTTTCCCCGGTAGATACTAGAGAAAATAATGCAAAGGCTAAAGGAAGTGGGCATGCTGTAATGGATGTATTGAGAGGAGCCAGAAGACCCATGAGAGAATTATTTTCCTTGAAAGGACTCAAAAGGCACCAGCATCATCAAGAAACTCAGTAGTGGTTTCCATCTGCAATCCAGGATGGATGGTAGGAGAGATAGTCATGGAGCCAGGTCTTGCAAAACTATAGAAAGTATGTAGTGCAATGATTCCTCTAATCTTTTCTGAAAGGGTCCTATGCCTATTTATTTGAGTGACTGTACACTGGGGAAATGAAAATAGACATTTTGAGGACCATTAGGCACAGGGTCTGAATTAACATAAAATCCAGAGTCATAGACCACTATTAGAATGAAATCTTATGGGACCAAGTAATAAATAAAATACTGGCTACAGCAAAATGGTCAACTAGGTTAGCATTCCTTCCCATTAGTCATTCCCTCATCCCCTAAATGTTTAATTGGCAGTTGAAGGAACCCTATATTGGTTTTCCCATCATAGTAGGAAAGGCCAAGTAGAAGTCATCAATTCACCAGTCTGGTCCCTGTAGAAAGTGGGTGGATCCTGGAGAATGAGTAGACTGCAGCAAGCTCAAACAAGCAGTAGCCCTGATTGTGGCTGTGGTTTTGGACATAGTATCTTTGCTAGAGCAGGTTAATATGGCCTCAGGTAAACGGCATGCAGATGTTCATTTGCCAAGAGTGTTCTTTACTAATCTGATCAGAAAAGATCAGAGTTTGTATTCACATGAAACAGACAATAACATTCATTTTCTGCTTTCCCCAGGGCTATGTTACCTCTTCAAATGCCTGTCATAATAAGGTCTGAAGAGAGCTCAACCATCTGAACATTCTGTAGAATATCACATTGATCCATTTACACCAAAGACATCATTAAGAGTCAACAAGAAATGTCTAATACATTAGAGGCCTTAGTAGGACACATACACTCTGGAAAGTGGGAGATAAACCCTGTGAAAATTCAGGAACATGCCACATTGGAAAGGTTTTTAGTGGTTCGGTAGTGAAAGGCTGCTAGGATACCTCCCCCCCACGCCACCACTGCACTTTCAAGTAAAAGTTAAATTGCTGTATCTTACATTTCCGGTCTCAATAAATAAAGTAAGATACCTGGTATCTTTGTGTTTTGGTGGCAATACATTTCATATCTACTAATATTTTTTGGTCCCATATACTGAACTGCACAAAAGTCTCACAGCTTTGAGTGGGCCTGGAGCAAGAAAGGGTTCTGCAGCATGTGTGGGCTGTAGTATCAGCAAGCCTACTACTCGGGGCATATGATCTGGCTGACCCGATGGTGCTGAACATGTTAGTGGGGAAAGATACAGTTTGGAGTTGATGGATGCCCAAGTGAAAGAATCAGAATGAAGGCCCCTAGGGCTGTGAAGCAATGCCATGCCATTTTCAGTATAAAGTTATAAACCTTTTGAGAAACTGTTTCTAGAATGTTGCTGAGCCTTGGTCAAGATGGAATGGTTGATAATGGGACACCAAATGTATTTGGAACTGACTATTATGAGCTAGATTATTGCTGATGCACTAAGTTATACACTCAGACATGTCCCACAGCCTTCTACTGGAAAATGGAAATGGCACACCTGGGATCAAACCCTTATGGGACTAGACTGGCATAGGAAGCTGCATGAGCAGGTAGCACAGATGCCCACATGTTATCCACCAGGGTTGTACCAGTGCCCTTTCATAGCTCACACTTATGGCTATATGGGGGGTTCTCTATGACTAGCTGAAAGGGAGGTAAAGGGCCAATCTTGGTTGACAATGGGTTAGTTCACTATGCAGCTGTAAAGCAAAAATAGATGGTCACTGAAGTGCGGCTGCATTATGGGGTAGCCTTGGAAGACAGTGGAGAAGGAAGTTCTTTTCAATAAATGAAGCTGCAAGCAGTGCATATGGTTATCTACTTTGTGTGGAAGAAAAAATGGTCTACCATATGAATATATTAGATTTCTGCACAATAGCCAATAGTTTAGCTATGTGGACAAGGACCTGAATAAAAGGGACTTGGAGATGAGAGACAAGAGTATGAGTCAGAGGCATGTGGTTGGGATTATGGGAGTGGGCACAATGTGTGAAGATTCTTGTGTCATGCATTTGACATTAATTGGGAAGCATCAAGTATACAAGAAGCACTAAAAAAACAAATAGGCAAGGTAACTTGTCCAGTTGGCATGATCCAGGCTTTGTCATCAGATAAAGGACTGGTATAATGGGCACATGAATAGAGTGGCCACAGCAGCAAAGAGCAACACTACTCCTGGCCAGTCTAGCTACTGCTGATTTTGAATGTACAACTTGCTAACAAGAGAGACCAACGCTGAGCCCTCAAAAGGTTACTAGTTCTTCAGGAGATCAACTGGTTGCTTTGTGGCAAGTTGACTACATTGGGCGCCCTCTGTCCTGCAGCAGCCAGCTATCCTTCCTTCCAATGATGCACTTATTCTGGGTATAAGCTTTCCTTTCCTCATCTCTGAGTCGTAGTCTACACGACTAACTATTCTCTGGGGGCTTTTGGATTACCAAACTAGAATGGAATTGCATACATAGTATTTGATCAGGGGACCCACTTAATAGTGAAGGGGGTGTAGGATTGGTTCATGATCCTAGAACCTACTGTTTGTATCACATATTATACCAGACAGAAGTAGCTGTGCTTTTAGCACCCTAGAATGAACTACCGAAGGAAGTGATGAAGTGCCAGGGTCCCATCCTTTAAAGTGCGGCATATGTGTTAAATCAGAGCCCACTTCATGGTGTTGGGTCCCTAACAGAAGTATACATAGGTCTTAGAATCAAGGGGTAGAGGAAGAAATGGCCTCAGTTAACGTCACTCCCATTGACCCATGGAAGGGCTTTGTGCTTCTTCATCTGTACCTTTATGCTCTTCAAGTTGGAGATCCTGGTCACCAAAGGACTTGTACTTTGGCCAGGGAACATAGCAAAGATCCCATTGAACTAAAAGTTCTGGCTGCCACCAGGGCACTTTGGATTCTTTGTGTTTAGGGACTAGCAGGCAAGAAAAGGAGTCACCATCTTGGCAAGAGTGATTGGTGGTGACTAGCAGATGGAGGTAGGGCTGTATTTACACAATGAGAAAGGCAGGCATATGGGGAGAACACAGGCAATTTGCTCGTAACTGTCAAGTTGTGATTGATGGCAGACAATTAGTGAATGGGACCAGGGATGTTGAGCATCTTCAGCAGGCCCTCAACATAGGATTGTTCAGATTATTTATGCTCTAGGGTGCCTTGCCCCTGCTGTGGTGAAAGGGTGAATGGGGGCAGAAATTGAGTATTATTGTCATGCAGACATACATCCTAGTTGCACAAAGACAAGGCAAGTGTGGATTCTCTGGACTGTCCGTGGGCTGTACCCGTGGGTATTAAATCATTCAGCTCAGAATTCCAATTATGCCTCTGTTGAGAAACGCCTTTAGGCTGCATGAGGATTTGTTGTTTCTGTGCAATTCTAGTCAGACCGAGAACTGGGCAGAACTCTGCTCAGAAATAGAGTATGTACTTGGCTGGGTTCAGCCTCTCAGAAAATTGAACGGCTGAAAAACAAAAGAAACTGCAACTTTGGGGATTAATCTAGGATACTCATAGTTTCATTTCCAATAGTTTATTTTTATTGCTGTGTTTCTGCTAAAGAGCAATAGTAAAAATGGAAAGTCACACTGTCATTTGGTTAATTGCTTTTTGAATATTGGAAAATGAGGTTTATTAACGTGAGAACAGAAGGAGCTCAGGGTATGGCATGCAGCAAGTGCTGAGCTCATGCTTGAATGAATTGCCATTGTGGTTTGAAAAGGCTTTAAAAAAAATAAAACAAAATAAAAACTTTTTTGAAATAATTAGAGACTCACAAGAAGTTACAAATAACAGTACAGAAAGGTTTCATGTGCCTACCACACACCATCCCCCAATGGTGACACCTTACATAACTCTAGGTGGACTTCATGGCTTAAAGGAGAATGACTACCCTTAACCTGGCTTCTCTAGAACACAGAATATGATTGTGAGGGTTGTTATTAAGCAGTTATTATATCCTTGGCAAGGTTCTAAATAGAATCATTAACTTATTTAATCTCACAACAAACTATGAGATAAAATCTCAGTTTTATAGATGAACAAAGTAAGAGAGAATAAAACATTTTAAGATTTCAGAGAAAGAGGTGAAGCTAGGCTTTAACCCATTCT